TTGTAACATAGTTTAACCAGTGAACATTAGGTTGTTTCCAATCTTTGAAGAATACAAACAATGCTACAATGACTTAACTTCATTAAATATCACTTCACACATGTATAAGTGTAGCAATATAATGAAACAGAAGGGGAACTGCCAGGTCATCAAGTAGGTATATTTGTAAGTCTGACCATATCCTACTGCCCTTCAGGGAGTTTGCACATATCATTGTATTTATCTCTGCAACCCTATCCACCATTACAAAGTAGCCATTCAAAGCTGAGTGTGGTGGCTCACACCTGTAATTTCAGCACTTTGGGAGGCTAAGGCAGGAGGATTGCTTGAGGCCAGGAATTCAAGACCAGCCTGGGCAACATAGTAAAACCTTGTCTCTACACAAAAATAAAAAAGAAAACAGATTAGACATGAAATATATTTTTTCTGATAAATTAAAAATACAACTCTTTTAGTGGAGGCACCCTTCTTTTTTCTTTTTCTGATGCCTTGCTTTGGTAAATAAGTTCCTTCCCATCCAGCGCTCAGTTCAAAGCAAATGAGTCAAATTCAATCCAAATGCCATTATTATTTTGGAGCAACATTCTTTTTTCTTTTTCTTTTTTTTTTTGAGTTGGGAGTCTCACTCTGTCGTCCAGACTGGAGTGCAGTGGCACGCTCCCAACCACCCCAGCCTCAACCTGCTGGGCTCCGGCGATCCTTCTGCCTCAGCCTTCCAAGTAACTGGAACTACAGGCATGCACTACCACGCCCAGTTAATTTTTGATTTTATTGTAGAGATGAGGTCTTGCCAAGTTGCCCAGACTGGTCTCAAACCCACAGGCTCAGGCAATCCTTTCACCTCGGCCTCCTAAAGTGCTGGGATTACAGGCTGAGCCACCAATCCCAGCCTGGAGCAACATTCTTATTCCAACTTTACTGTGTAATAATCAAGATACTTCTTCGTTCACTTGGTTGTAAAATAAGGTCTCATTAATTTTATGTTCTAATTATAATGACTTGGAGTCCTCATCTCATATTTTGTGAGATCTGTCCCCCAGGCTGGAGTGCAGTGCTGCACTCACTGCTACCCCAGCATTGACCTGCTGTCCTCCCGCAATCCTTCCACCTCAGTCTTCCAAGTAGCTGAAACTACGTGTGTGTGCTACCTGGTTAATTTTTAATTTATTGTAGAGATGAAGTCTCACCAAGTTGCCTAGGCTGGTCTCGAACCCACAGGCTCAGGCAATCCACTCGCCTTGGCTTCCCAAAGTACTGGGATTACAGGATGAGTCTTCCTTCTTTTATTAGGTTGTTCCCCGCCCCCTAACATTTCCTGGAAACCCTTCCATAGTTCCTAAATTCTTTCAGAGGGTATTGCTTGTTGTTTTTACAAGTCATTAGTCCTCTGCTTCTCCTGAATTTATTGCTTATTAGCTCTCAATGCCTGTTGATTCTTCTTTCAAATGGGAGACATTATAGGGTTGTGAGGCTTAAATGAGATTATAGATGTAAAGTATTTAGAATAGTGTTTGGCACATAGTAATGTTGGGAGAGACTGTTCTTTATGGGTCTTTCATGCTTCTACTCATCTTCCTGGGTATCCCAAGAATGTAAGGTCCTGATTGCTGTTTACCAGGGTAATTTTTCCAGGCTATGTTTATTTTTATTGATATATTTATTTATTTTTGAGGCAGAGTCTCTGTTGGCCAGACTGGAGTGCAATGGCACAATCACTGCTCACTGCAGCTTCAACCTAGCATTGTGTTTATATAGTGAGCAATCTTGAGAGATGAAACAACGTCTCCCTCCAGAACAGGTTTGCTTCCTGTTTCCAATAAAATGGCAGATTCCCAAGCTTAGTGCTCCTCATCTTTGATGTAAATCCACTAAACGCCCAGCATTTATTTGAGCTGTTTGTTTCATCCTCATGGGATTTGCGGGG